ACAAAAGCTCCGTCCACAAAAAAATTAGTTCGGTTTCTTTTGGGTACCCCATCGTATATATTATGTTATGCTGTAATGGAAGAATTGTGACCGCCTCTGTGGTCTATTGGTCAGAGTTCCTGGCTAGAGATCCAAAGGTCCTGAGTTCAATTGCCGGTGCTACCAGATTTCCTGAGAAGTACAAGTAGTAGATCTGGAACGGCGTCCACTCAGCGTCGCGAGGATAATTGAGGAGCTAATTCAAGGAAGTAGCGGCTCCAGTCTAGAAAACTGAAATTTACGGCCATGGGGATCTGCTGTGCTGACCACGTGACACCCTCTATCCACAAAAGTTAGCATTAACTTCGTGGCCAAGTGGCGGTCATTCAGTCAGTATAGTTTGCTTACAGGTTACAGGCCATGGAGTTTGTTTTTGTAATGGAAGAATTACTTCTATAAATAAGACCTAAGTGACAGATGAAATCTGAGTACAGAGAACTCATATTGACAACATGCAAACTATTGAACTTATGCATTGTATCTGAGCTGTTAATACAGAAGCATGGGCTCCACCTTTGTGTAAGAGTTAAACCTTTGACAAGTTTAGTATGAAACAAGAGTAATAATCATTACATGAAAACTTTTAATTGCATATTAATTGTACTGTAATGAAGTTTCTGCACTTTCTTCCTTGGCAAGTGTTCCGAACAGAACGCCGTTTTAGCAGGTGGATTTGTATCCATCTTTATATGAAAAAATGGAGAGGGGCCTTCTCAGTTGGGTTCATTAGAAAGAGCTAATTTCAATCACTAGATACGAGCATCTTAAATAAAGGTACAAAGTAAAGTTGTCCCTGTGCTTGACTTATTAAGAAATATGCCATGAAGGCATATGGAGGAGTGGATGTATAGATCCACATTTTTGTGACCTCAGCACTAGTTGGAGATTAGTGGTCAGCTTCAAGCCCCGGATACTTTAGCCATGGGAAAAGAGCCCCGGTACCCATTGTGTAGGAGGTTGGGTGGACCCCAAAGCCTGTCTGGATGTCTTGGAGGAGAGAACATTCTTGACCCCACCAGGACTCGAACTCCAATCCTTCGGTCATCCAGCCTGTAGCCAGTCGCTATAACAACTACACAATCCCGGCTATAGATATCTTAAGTCAGTCAACTAAAATTACATAAGCCCCTGGAGTTGCTAGAATTAGGTATTGTCATCAGGATATAATAGGAAATTTACAATAAAAAAACTAGTTTTTGAAAGGTTGTGTTTTGTTTGGGATACTAAATCATGGACAAAGGCCAGAAACCCAGTAATACTAAGTGTAATGCACCATTATCGGAACCCTTCAGAATTAACATGTAACAATGTTTGCTTTGTACAGGGAGAAGGTGTATCAGGCCAAGCTGTACTGTGAAAGTTATGTGAAAAACACGGGCATGAGACTGGACATGCGACCATATGCATGTGGAAATATCTGTGGCGTTTGTGATGTGTTTGGTTGCCCCACTGTAAGTGACTGCTTAACTAGCCCTATGACAATTGTTATGTTATTATGTTACACTTTACAGATTATTAATTTATAAACAGTATTATTACTATTATTGGCTTGAATTTGGTTATTTCCAATGTTGTGTTCTGAATTTCTTCTTGAAGAGATAAATGCAGTGCTTTATTTATAAGGTTGATGCTATCGAGTACTACACAGAGGAAGAGGCTCGTCTTCGGAACCAGGTTGACCAGGAGCGTGCATCTGCCCTGAAAAAGCCCCTTGGAATTGCATTCATCACACTGACATCTGTGGAGGCTGCTAGCAAGATATATGAAGATCACAAACCTTCTTACAAATGTTCGAACAACCCGCCCACTTCTAGTGTCAGCTGCCACCTGAAGCCACACAATTGGCATGTCCAGTTTGCCCCATCTCCCAAAGATATTTACTGGTAAGAAAGCATGCTTTATGCTCTCTCTCTCACACACACACCTGTGAAATGTATCACCATATTGAGCTTTCAGGTTATTACTCAATAATATGGGTAATGGCTTATATTATTTTTTCACATGAATTGTTTCAACTTCCAGATATCCTACAGAACATATAAAAATTGTGTAATATGAAGCTGGACCTTAGAGATTGTGTGTGGAAATATGAACTGGATTGAATGAGCTTAGGGTAGGGTCCAGTAGTGGCTTCATAACAGAATTTTTTGAGTAGCTAATTAGTGCTCATATGCTCAGGAAAAATGAAGTGAGATGATAGAAATTTAATATGTCGTTTCAGGGAGAACCTCTCAGTCTCATCGAACTACTGGTACATCAAGGCTGTACTCGTCAATTGCTTCCTGTTTTTGGTTCTGTTTTTCCTTACTACTCCTGCTATTGTAGTTAACTTTCTTGATACCATGACAGTGGAAAATGAGCTTGAGAAGATGGTGAGTAAAGTTAATGCTTTAATATTTATGAGGCCTAACTCTTCATTGAGATTATATACAAATGGTCCGAAGGTATAGGAAGAGAACCTAGGGCTGTGATTTCTTTCTTCACTGTTAATTTCCATAAAATTTACTATACATGTTTTATATTGTTGTAAATTGCTCTATTTATGTTTTTATTTGACCTTCCTGGCCTTTGTCCACCCATCAAAGTAAAGGAATCCATTCTGGAAGGAATATTTCACTACTTCCATTGATAGAATGTTGGTTTGCAGAGGTTCTCATAGCTTCATGTTTCCATCAACCCACACTGGGAATGATGACTGGCAGAGGGGACCCAGAACTGGGTATTGCTTCAAATGAACAGTGAGGACCTGTCAGAGTCTGAGTAACAGAGAGGGGGATATGTACAGAGAGGTGTGCACTTTAAATCTAGTCAGGACTCGACTTAGAACACTCGGAATAAGATTCTTATCTCTAGACCAGTAGGCCCCCTGAATTTCAGATTGAAACCTTTAACAAAAACCAAGATAAATTTGACATATGTTGACATTTTGTAGGTGTAACCAAGTTGGGTGGAAAGTCCCACTGTTTGGTGCAATATTTGTATAGTTTGAACTTAAGCACCACTTGAAACTTAAGAGATCCATTAGTTATTACTGTTCGTTTGCCGTTACACACCTCTTAAACTGGTACGGTAGCACTTTAATGTCCTTGCACTAGATGGCCAACAAGTGACTACTGAATCTTGAATATGCAGTTGTTTGGTGCACAATCTTCATTCTGTGAGAAATGCCACAAGAAAATTTTGAAACATTTTTTCACATTTCGGCCAATAATTTTGGAGGCTTAGTTACTTATTTAATCCTATTCAAAATAATAATTCCAAAAATCTTTTTATTTTCATAGAAGTGACATCGGTTCATTTTTAATCCAAGATTTGTCAGTAATTCTATTAACATGCAGTTGTCAAGCCAATCTGTATAGAAAGTGAAATACAAAATATTTGGCAGATCTGACAAACGCTGTTGGCACACAACTCATGTGACAGAAGAAAATACACTGCTGATGGTTTCATGTTAATTTATTTCTGCATAAATATTTGATGTTGTACAGCTAGAATTCAAAGCAGTTACAGAATACAGTTAACGATTTTTTTACTTTGAGTGTCACAGCCATTGTGTTAATTTTGGTACCAACTTTTAAGGAATGTGTAAAAGTGATAAGGTGGAGATCATAGTCAGTAAAAAATTGTAAGACTTCTGATTTTGGAAATGCTTTGAGGTTCACACTGTTAATATTGTGACATGTGCGAAAAGCCGAGCCCCCCCCCCACACCAGCAGTCACGCGGCGGGTGAGTCAGCGCTCCCCTCCCACC